ACTTTTGGTCTCCAGAGGATTTACTGAACTTTGGGATTGAGTGTGCAGACTCTGACACCCAGTATTAGGATCCACAATTATCTTGCAAATTCGCTCCCACAGGGAAATTCAATGCAGAATTAGAGCTTCCTATGAACTTCTTTTGCTTCTACATCTTGGAGGCAACAAACAGCATGACAGAAAGGAGAAAAATGGATGAGATGGTGACCAAGCAGATAATCAAATACACTGAGTATGATCTCCCTCCTGCTGGACTTCACCTTTAGGCTTATCCATAATTTTAATGTAAGGATTAGAGAAGCTGTCTGCTAGAAAAATTCTTAGTGTGGCAGAGGCAGACTGAGGAGGATGGCCATTATCTCTAACTACAATAAGAGTTTTGAAACTAACTCAGTTGTTCACTGGTCTCATGCTTTTCACTTCCCCATTCTGAGTCCCCACAGCAGATCGGTGGCCTTCAGCAATTGATAGGAAAGCCAAGAATTCTGCCCTGAATCTCTGTCCACTGCCACCATTTTGGTGACAAGGTAGCCGGCCTCTACTCCCCTGGGAACAAGATCATTTGATGGAGAAGTGCTGTTCTGAAGTGGACAGAGGATGAAGGAGGCACTGTCATTTTCATCCATGATAAGAACTCAGACCATTGCTTTTGAGCTCAGTGGAGGTGAGCCTTTATCTGTAGCCCTCATCATCACCTGGAAGTCTTGTATGTCCTCATAATCTATAGATCAAATGTCATACAGGTTCCCAGTTTCAGAGTTGATGGAGATGTAAGACAATGCAGATCTATCCCTGACCTTCCCAGGCAAGAGCAAATAGGTCACTTTGGCGTTCTGTTCTACATCCACAGCATGGACTGTTCCAATGAACAAATCTAGAATGTTGTTTTCTTGCAAGTACAAATCATAGAAAGATCTTTCAAATATTGGAGAGTTGTCATTGACATCTGAAATTTGAATGTTAATAACTGTTATTGAAGTGCGCTTGGAGAAACCTTGGTCAACAGCTGTGATGGTGATGTTATATTCTGACATTTCTTCTCTGTCCAATGGTTGTTGAGTCACAAGGTGGTAAACATTGTCCTTTGTGAGTTTCAGCAGAAAAGGCAGGTTTGCAGCAATGTTGCAGGTAGTCTTGCCATTATTTCCGGAGACACTGAACACAGCCACCAGTGTTTCTGGGGGAGAGTTTTCTGGTAAGGGGTTGGTGATGGATGATATTGTTATTTCTGGGGCATTGTCATTCTCATCCTTTATAT